TAGGGCTGCACGATAAATCGCATGCGATATTTAATGCGCAGAGATTTACCGCTGATTACAGAACCGGCTTTACTGATAAGATGCGCCTTAAATATCGCATGCGATTTATCGTGCAGCCCTATTTTATACAATAATAATTTTGTGAAATGAATAAATGCATAATAATCGTCATAATCGTGAAATCGTGATTATTTCTCAGACAATAATCGTACCAACAAAATCTATAACCGTTGCATCCCTACTATCAACTAACATTTTGAAAATACGAACATTTTCATGAATTCGAAAGTTTACGTCAGAATGGCTTTACGAACGATTTACACAAAAATTTGTTCTGCTCGTGTTTCATGAATGAGGCCCATTGTCACCATCTTTTTTACTTTTTTTTCCATTTTTTAAGTACACAGATATGAATAGGACTATTTTATGCTCTTTACAACATAAATAAAAAATTCCGCAAAAGATTCTCCACAGCAGCATTCAAAAGGGTGGTGAATTTGGCAACACAATTTGTATTTACACTAATTCCATGTTAGTTAAGTTTTATCTAGTTTAGAGTGTTGTAATGACTTTTTAGCTATGTATAGCACTGCTGAAAGAGAGCTACTGAATGCCAGTAGAGACCTCTATGAATCTAGAAATATTAATTGCTCACTATGGATAAATGTTTTGATATGTATCTGCACTTTGATATTCATCAATGCACAAAAATGAAAAAGTCTTGCTCTGAGAATCAATTCAAGTATAATACCTGCAGTTCTACATACACAAAGTTCTTTATTGCCATCTACAGAATAGTTCCATTAAGAACCTTTTTAATCCAAGGAATTCCACAAAAGGCTCTTAAAGGGGTCATATGATGCTTTTTTAAAGATCATTATTTAATATTCTTCACATTAAAAACAAAAATGGTTCTTTTAAGAACTGTTCTTTAGGGAAGCAAAAGTGGTTCTTCTAGGTTCACTGCATTTATTATCTCTTTATACTTTTATTTTAAATGTGTATTAAACTCTGGGGGATCTATACGTGCTTTCATACCATGAGTTGAAAGTGCATATACTGTGGAGCAGAAAAAATGCTCTTTTCATCTCGTTGAAGGTCAGAGGAATAAGATCATTGAACATGTTCCTCCCATGCCCTCTGGGAGGGTTATATATATGTTTATATATTTTTTTGTTTTATTGTTCACAAACAAGACTGTGTGAAAAAAATTGGTGTCGAATTTATTTTGAAGCAATTTTCACTCCGAATTTGCTTGTAAATTTTCACTAATAATTACTAAGAAACGGCAAGTAACATTAAAATAAATGTGAAATTTTGAAGTAAACTTTTGAAGAAATTATGAAGACTGAAATGATCATTTCTTGTGAAAACAATCTTTATTTTATTTACAAATTCAAAAAATAAACTTTGTAGTGTATATAAGGTGATTACAAACTGAACACACAAAGGTCTCTTAATTGGACAATATGCAATATAAACACTCCTACTGAAGGTAGCGTTTTTCAGCTTTCAGACACCGCCAGTGCAGATGTGCTCAAGAGTATGTGTTTGTGTATTTGAGACAAAAAAAATCGTGATTCTCAATTTATCCAGAATCGTGTAGCTCTAGTCCTGTGTTTTGTTTTTGTACTTGAGTGCAATACATTTTGGTTGAAAAAATGAGAATCGTGTAAGAGAATCGTGATCTCAATTCCCATGGAGAAAAACCATCAATCACATTTTAGCAAGAATCGTGCAGCCCTACCTCACAATACAGACAGAGTGCAGAAAAAACATTCTGTAATTATTTTTCTAATTAACAGTTGCCTGTGTACTCTGCTATCAATGCAAGAGCAGTGAAATGATATATTAGTGTCAGAGTGCCACTGTTGTCATGCAACAGCTTTAAAGAATACCTGTTAGGTTTTTCTGAGAATCTGCTTTAACCCTGTCATAAGGTTAAAGTCCCTGCCTGGATTAATAGGTCTATTTATGAACCTGATATGAACAGATGTTGAAATGTCATTAATGTGACATTAAATGTGCTAATGTGAAAAGACCTGCTTACAACAAACTACAAATAAAGCACAGTCTCCCAAGGCTGGCTTTGTCACACAAGAGCCATGTGTTGGTCATATTTTCATTGGAAATTTAATTAGAAAAATGCAAGCAATTAATTGCTGGCATAACTAGCTCACCAATTTGAGGACGTGTTTTATTAGCATTACATAGTGGACCACATCTTGTAAAATCATGCCTTTACTTACATTTTTGCAAAACTCCATATATACCTGCATACAATTCACTGCAGTTTCCAGCTGCAATGAACACTAGCTGCTGTAAAATGGCAACAACTTTTCAAACAAATTATGATTATGTGGGAAGATTATTTTACCATTGTGCATGATTTGTAAAGTAATACATTTTAACATTTGCATCACATAACCATCCCCATATGTATGGCTTTGTGGACATAGTAAACTTGCTCGGTAGCTCACCTGGTACAGCACTGCACTTGCAATAGCATTAACCTATTTGCCAATGGACATTGCCAGATACTTGTTCATCTGTTTCAGATAGAACTTATTGTGCCACTCACTAGATATTTCACATGGAAGTGTCGCAAAATGTGCAAGAAGCAATGTAATATCATTTTGCAGAAATGCCATCACAGGCAAATATTTCCAATGAGCCTGGGTTACATAAAATGCAAACAGCCTATAATAAACAACATTTTAATTGTCTTTTTAAAGTGGTTTATGGCACATAAAAGTAGCAGATTATACATACAAGTAATTGGAAATGGATGTGCTAAATGATAATGAAAAAAAAATCTTCCTCTTTAGTCCCGAAAGATCATTCATGAACACTAAGTTGCGAAAAGGGCTTGAAATTCTTGGATAATTTATATTCTTCTGAGTCATCATCCATAACTGTAGTGCTTTAACTGTGGACAGTGAATTAATTATTTTAAAGCAGTCATAGGATGCCAAAAAAGACATTAGACAGACATAACATTTATTAAAGGGGTCATATGATGCTGCTAAAAAGAACATTATTTTGTATATTTGCAATTTTTTTAATGTAAGAACGTGTCATGCATGAACATCCCTTAAATGCAAAGCCACAAAATGTAACCCATTTAACTGTAAAGGTTAGAGAAAATGTGAAAAATGGCCACATAAAGTCAAACAAGGGCTTGAAAAAAAATTTACTTCAGTTTAATTCAGATACTAAAACCATCTAACTTCTCCTTTTGACAAATATTTTCCAAACACATCTATGTAAGACTGTTTAACTAATAACATCAAAAGCACTGAGATGATGAATGAATTAACAGACTTAAATGCCTTCAGAACCCAAAAAAAATAAAAAATAGGAGTTTGTGAGAATAAATAGATAGTTAGTAATACAAGACCCTATTAAAACTCAATGATAAATCCATATAAATGATTCATACTGTACAAAGTTAAAGATTCCTCAAAGTCAACAAAAATGTTTTTTTTTTCTATAAGGAGCAGATATTATTGCTTTGGCTATGTACAGCAGACAGAAAAACGTATATGGACACTAAAAATATATAATTGCACAGATGATAAAATATCAAAGTGGCATCAGCAAACAAAAATAGCCAGAGTTATTCTCTAAACTAACTTTGTGAGCCATTTCTGCGATGACTTGCAAACAAACTGGCATCAGAGATTTTTTGTGGATGTCTTTAGTCAGTTCTCCTCAAGTTCACATAGGTGTCCTATCACAGTAACTACAGGTGTAGACAATCACATTAACTTTTAATATCATTCAAATATTATGACCACAAAGTTTTTCTTGTGAAATAATCTGATTAAAAAGTGTGCTTAATTATGCTGTCTTTCTTTTAAATAAATGCCACTTGGTTTGATATTGTGATCCAAGTACATTCCTTTCAGGTGTGGAACATCAATTTTATGGTTTTACATGGACAGTCTTTTTAATACATATTATACTTAAGGTTGCTTAAGGTTTTAATTCGCCGCAGACTCCATGACTGCAGCTGCTTGGAAATGAATAATGTAAAATTTAATATTACTGTACAGATGCCATCTCTCAAAAGACCACTCTTGTTTTTCTTAAAAATATTTCTAAGAACACTGTTGACTGCACAAGAGAATGAGTCAGATATCTTCCCTGCTTTCATACTGCTATTGGCTATATTGACATAACATGCCTTGCTGTTCAACCCAGGGTCTGCAAAATTGATCTTTGGGGGGATTTTCATCACAAACAGATGACGTAGAATATATTTTCTCAGCTGAAGAGTCATCATGATTGCTTAGTGACATTTAGATTTTTCACTGGTATTTCCATGGATTCTTCAGCTTACTGAGATAAACAAAAAAGCTTTGGAAAAAAATGATATGCATATACTGCATTGGCTAAAAAGCAAGAAATGGATTGGCTATACAGAGCACTGAGACTGTACCACATATAGCCATACAATCTATTTGCTTATTGCAAATTATTCAAAGGTTGAACCAACAAAATAAGTCAAAACAAAGGTGGGGATCCTTCAAGCTTACAAAATATATATTCATAAAAGTATACATTATTTCAACAGCATCTTCAAACAACGTTTTAGTGACCATAACAGTCAAAGTGGCTAAAAAGTTAGATCAACAAGACATACGTGTTGTCATTATCAACTTATTATAGATTTATTTTATATTTAAAATGTCTATTTGCCTGTTAACAAACTGTTCTAGGGCGACAAGATGCAGATGAGAATGAGCCAGGTGATGTCATTACCGCGTGCCAACAACAAACGAAATCCTGCACATTAATAATAGAATAGGCCTATTTTATTGATAGTTGCCATATCGTCAAACTGTAATCTCACCGCTAATAGTCAACTACTTAAACAATTCAGTTCAGGACACATCAATCATTCTGTCTGAGGGGAAGCTCATTTGTCTAATTTAGTATCGCAACAGGCCAATGCCTGATTGACGAACGACAAAAAAAAAACAGAAAAATTAAATTGTGGTACAACAATTAACCAGCAGCATCGACTCAACACACAATAATCATATACAGCTTAAAAAACCCGCAGATTATGTAGGCAGGCGCTGAAGAGAGTAAATAAAAATATGTGACAACATTACCTCATGATGCTCTTGATGGAATATAAACAAAAATCCAAAAAATAATCCATATAATCCAAAATGAAACAGGAAACTCCCAATTAGTTGAAGTGTAATTACCATAACCTTGTAAAAACAAAGCTGTATTCATACAGTCAAATTATACGTTGGCTTTAAAACCATAAAATTAACAACTTATATTAATATTACTATATAAAAATATAACTATAATTAGCAAACGGAGTCTTTCGTACGCTTGGAGTTTGTTTAGGCCTAACGTTACTTCTGTCTCTTTGAGAGCAATCGCTTGTTTGTTTCCCTAACAAGTCACTAACATAATAAATGAAAATATATACATTTGAATATACTTTTCATGCATCATTTTGAACATCATTTTTGGGCGTTGATCTTTATGTTGTGTTGAATTTACATCCACCTGTGCAGGCCTGCGTAATGCACGCGCCTCCTGACGTAAGCACGCTGGCACGCTATATGAGAAGTCCTGCGTTTAAACTATGTGTATGTGTGTGTGCTAAAATAATCGCTTGGAGATCAATTTGCTATTTTATATTCTGCTAATATTTCAACAGTAATTTAAATAAAATGATTTTAATTCGATTTAAAGTTAGTCAAATAAAATAATCAACAACAACAACAACAAAAAGATTATTTTAGCCATTTAAAATAGAAAATTCTCGGCATTTACCAGGTTGCCAAACACAATTTATTCTACTTTGGCTGGATGAATGTAATGTTATATTATCTTATACAGTACAGGTGAAGATACAATGTTACAAGTCTCTAAAATCATAAATGAAACACAATCTTGCTATTTAGATTTTTACTTTTTTAACACTTATTTTTTTCCCAGCCATTCTCTCCATCCTGGGCAACGCAGCCGTCCTGGTAACAGCCACCTGGCGTCACAGTATTCTCAAAGCTCCTGAGCTCCTCACAGTCAATCTGGCTGTGACTGACATTGGTATGGCTCTCAGCATGTACCCGCTCTCAATCGCCTCTGCCTTCAACCACGCCTGGATTGGAGGTGACCCTTCCTGCCTGTACTATGGCCTGATGGGTATGATCTTCAGCGTGGCCAGCATCATGACCCTGGCCGTCATGGGGTTAGTGAGATATCTGGTGACAGGAAACCCTCCGAAATCAGGTGCTGTGATGAATCCATTAAGGCCTAAATGACATTTAAAAACAGGATTTTAAAATGTAAAAACATTCATTAGTTTATTGATTCAGCATTTAATTTAATTTCATTGTTGTTGCATCTAAGAACATTGGGTTTTGGGACACAAAAGGTCAACGTGTGTTTAATGAACCATATTGTTTTTCTTGGCAATAATAGTGGAAATGTTCAGTAGCTTTTATGTAGCCAAGATTTTAAAGTTTGAGTCCATACCGCTTGACTTTCAAACTAAACCCAGACTAATAAATATTCACTGTAAAAAGTGTAGCAACTAGCCCAAGTCTCTTCTACAAAATGTTTCATTTTATACAGAAAATTTCTAAAAAAAATAAAATAAAAAAAAACGAATATAAATGTAAATGACAATGTAATCACAGTTATACAATCAAAATCAGAGAGATGAAACATCTTTGTGTTTTTGAATGTTTCTATTGTTTAATCAAGAAAGCAGAATTATCACAAATGGCAGGAAGCCACAAATAATAACTTTGCCACCACAAATGCCAGGACTCACAGAATTTAAATGATGAAAGAAAAATAGATTTAGAGCTATCTACAACAACAACAACAAAAAAAACAAAAACAAAAAAACAATCTTTTCTTTGTATTGTGATGTTCATCGAAGTGAAACAGATTATTGAAAAAGAAAAAAAATGTAAGACGGAGACTCGGTTCTGTCCATCAGTTGCTGATTGGATGGTAACAGATTTATACGCTCTTGCAGTAAACAGTAATTTTCAATAGGTATTTGCATGTATTCAGATTGACAACAGACTGTATAAACTTTCCAGAAAAGGTTTCTTGTCTAAATAGGCAACTTGCATTGAATTCTGTCCTTCTCGAACTTTTGTGCATTTACAGTACCGTACAACACACGCTCAGCCTACAGAATGGCCCATTTTAGGAGTGGTTGAGAAAATATTGCATGATTTATCATCCAGAATGAGTTTTTGAAATGTTCTATAGTACCTGTATGTAGACTCTTTATATATATTTTAATTGCTTATTAATTTGTACCCAAACCGTAACTGCTTATTTGCTCTCGAAACACAAGGAACATCTATCCATGAAATCTTTAATGATGCATGAAAAGGTCAATGGAGAATATAGACAAGCATAATGATGGTTCATCTGAAATTTGAGGGATCTATTTAAACCCAATTGTTTTCCAATTAGACAGTTTCTCGTTGCTCTGTTTTTCTTTTCATTTTCAAATTACCAACCTGTTAATTGCCTTCACATTGCCTCTCCAATTTATAAAGAAACTCTAAATATGGAAAAATAGGTTATTGGCAGTGGGAATTACTTGAGGATTCTTCAGATGTCTTTCTACGCATGGCTAAACTCTATTTCTAAACCTCTACATGTTTGATAAAAACTCTAAAGAATGAGCTTTCCCCTATGAAGAACAGCATCAAATAACTTTTTCTTATCTCTCTGTTCCAGGTAGCAAGTTTCAAAGAAAAACGATCAGTATATTGATCGGTGTGATCTGGCTGTATTCTCTGCTCTGGGCATTGTTTCCTTTTCTGGGATGGGGAGGATATGGGCCGGAACCCTTCGGTTTGGCCTGCTCTGTGGACCGGACCGGGTACCAGCACTCCTTAAATGGCTCTTCGTTCATTATGGCTTTGGCCATCCTGTGCACCCTGATCCCATGTGCGGTCATCCTGTTCTCCTACACTGGCATCGCCTGGAAGCTCCACAAGGCCTATCAGTCCATCCAGACCAATGATAACCTTCCCAACTCTGGGGCCATTGAGAGGAAAGTCACCCTGGTAAGGGATATCCGAAATTGCACACAAAAATGTTAAGAGCTTTCTTGAAATTGCCAGGCTCCAATCTGACTGGCCAGCTTCACACAATTTCCGAGCTCTGGGATGTACTGTACAAGCTTTTATAAGACCACTGGAAAATAAAGTGAAGTTTGCAACGATATAAGGTATCATTCATCTACATAGCACAAATGGTGTGGGACAAGTTACGCATCAAAATTTTATGGGTTTGCTCAAATTTCTAACACTAATTATGAGTACTTTGCTCACATTTACCGTTTTTTGTCAAAATCTAGTCATTTAAATAGGAAACCATGCAATCTGGTAAATCTACGTAGGGGCAAAATTCTGCAAGTTGGTCACAAATTTGCCATAATGGCCAAGACTAACAGAAAACTACTTGGTTTTAAAATGTGAGCTGTTGACTAAATAATAAACATCTTTTGTCTGCGAAATTTAGTCAAAATAGCCTTAATATTCCCTTTAGTGAGCATAGCTATCAAATATTTGATTTCTGAAGTTTTCAGGACAAATATTGTTTTGAATGCATTCTTTCTTTATAAATGTCCTTCTAGTTGACAGTATGTACAGTAAAATTATGGCTAGGGTTTTTTTAAATTTCTTTTAAAGGACAAGTTTGATGTTTCTCAACCAGCTTTGTATTATTACAGTGTCGTGGTATATGTAAATGACTGTCGGGTAGATGTAACTGAGAGGCCAGGAAGGAGTTAGGAAGGCTCAGTACAACAGGGTAAATTTCCAGTTGCTCACATTTATTAGAGACATGCCACCAATCAGTGATGATTTGTGAGTGTCAGCCAATCAGATCCAAGGAGAGAAAAATAAACAAAGTAACAAAAGTAAAACAAAATAAACACTGAAACTACAAAACACCAAGAAAAATGCTGTCAGCAGCAAAACCTACAGCTTAAAACCACTTGCAGGAGTATTTCATTCAGTGTATACACATCTCACAGCAGACATACACTTCAAGTCAAAACAGTTTCAGCCTTCTGCCCCCACCCAACTACAAACACACTGATTAAATAGGCTATTTTCCCGCCAGACATTAATGGCACAAGCCAATCATGGGGGAGCACATATCACAATGTACATCTCACAGAACATTTCCTCAAAACAGAAATACAAAATAAAA